ACCCCTTTAAAAAAAGTTGAGTATGCAGTTTTTTAGCCCATTCAATTCTAGTATAACAAAGCGCAAGTCTGAGCTAACTAGGACTTACTAATGATTTTTGGCAAATTTTTTAGTTGAAGGTGTCGTTCATTTTCTCTATATAAAATGTGCTAAAAAACTGCATATTTAGTTTTTTTCTAAAGACTAATTTAAAAGTGTAATATTATCATGAACATTTGCAGAATTTTCTTTTTGGTGCTCGGTCCTTTGGGGTCGTGACCGTAAAATTAACGATATTTTTATAAAAAAATTTGCGAAAAAAAAAATTAAGAAACACTTGCCCGTATTGCAAAAAAATGGCTGTACCTAAACTTTATTGATTGACTGTACATACATACATACATACACACATATGTATATGTAAATATGCCAATGCATGGTGTTCACCATGTGTATATGTATGTATAAATATTTTTGAAAACACATACTTATGTATGTACATTCATTTCTATATTTACTGATTCCTCGCCTCGACTCACTACAATGACCACATGGTAAACACCAAGCACGCGCGCATGCGCCGCAGGCACTGAATGTCTGAACTGGCCTGGTGATTGATGTGTAGGCGGAAGATTCTGTTATTTTACGTGGGCGCTGTTCCAGTGTGACCACTTTGTGAGTAATTCCTCAAGACGTGAGGAATTTCGGGCGCGCTTGAGTATTTTTTGAGGATTTTTATTTTGAGGAATTTTCTCTCGATATATTTGCAGATAATAAACGCAACCATGTTTCACACAACAGAGTTGTTAAATCGTTAAACAAATTTTGATTTTTTTTCCAATTACCCTTAAACGGCTTGTCAAAGCTTCAAAAACCTCCATACCCAACATAGATAGCTTTAAGCAATGGGATATTTCGCTTGGTTTGTCAAGCCGCTTCTGTGGTGTATTTCGATTTTAAGCACATCTGCATTGCCTGCTAAAAATTTAAAATGTTATCGATAACGTTGTTCATTCCATCATTATATTTTCAACTTATTTTGTACTTGGAAAATCTCGATAACGAATGGAGAGAACACGCATTGTTCGATCATAAGAATATTCATATTGATTCTTCATTAGATCCAGAAAATTATAGGAAAAAAGTTCTTGTATTAAAAGATTCTTCAGGTTCTTATAAGTTTCCCAATTAAAAAAAATTATATCTGCATTACTATTATAGTAATTTAAAAATGTGTAGGACTGACTTGAGGACCAGATTGAGCACTGGTATAGTTGCAGCAATATTATATAGTACAAAGCAAGGCATAAAAAATAACGGTGCTACTTTGTTTGAGCCGCAAGAACAAATGTACCAATTAAATTTGAAAATGTAATTAATTTTTATACTAAGTACCTGTAAATATCTGTAATAAGAAAATTTTGAGCAATTTGTTCGGATTTTTCATTTGTTTTTGAAGAATTTGGTAATTTTTTGTGGCAACACTGCTCTGTTCTCACCTTTAACTCGCACGAACAGGAAAAAAAATGAAAATACATACTATAGAAAAAGATTGAACCGCCAGCTGTTCATTTATGGGATTCTCGTTTACCTACAATCGATGATGTAACAAATTTACACAAACAAAATATTTAAGGAAATTACTTAAAATAATTAAATTAAGCTAAAAAACAAAAATTTGGATATTGCGAAAAAAGAACGTTAGCGCTCTAACCTGTCGGCTACTGCGATGGTTGCAGCAGCGTGAGCCAGGGACCGTATCAGTTACAACTTTTATTAAAAAAATCGCTTTTTAACAATTGTTTTCTGACTTTTATTTAATTACTCCTTAAATACCAGTTATTTGATTTTTAATTTATAAATTAAAAATAACAATTATATTTGATTTTTACCTAAATAATCTGCAAATAACAATTATTTTTGATTTTTAAATTATATGTGTTAGCTAACAGCTATTGAAGACTTTAATTTATAAAAGTCATAAATAAAAAGTCAGTCAGTGACTTTTACCTTTAAAAGTCATCAATATAAATCAGTCACTGATTTTTTGTTTTTTAAAACATACTTATAAAAGTCATTTGTATAAGTCGTAGTAAAATTTTGTTCTCCAACACCTTCTTAACTGCGAAAAATGATAATGACTTTTATACGTATGACTTAAAAAAAACTCGGTGACTGATTTATATTGATGACATTTAAAAGTAAAAGTCACTGACTGATTTTTACTGATCACTTTTATAAATCTTCAATAACTGTTATCCAAGACATATAATATAAATATCATAAATAACTGTTATTAACCTGATTATATGAAAATCAAAAATAATTGTTTGGTGAATTGGTGAAAAAATAAATCGATTGGTATATCTCGCTTAATTGCAGAACATTTTCTTTATAGAGAAATTTTCAATGATAGTTTTCAACAAGAACTGTTATGTTCGGTCCCTGGCGTGACCAAATTGAAAGTTTTTTTTTTGTAACTGGCGATGCGTAATAGCCAGACTACGTAGTGATAGAACGATACGAGTACCGAGAACAGAATATCGATACTTTTCATGAGTACTGAGTAGTATCGAAAACTCGAAACTTTTTCACAAGTAGTGAATGCCGAAAAGTATCGACGAGTTCAGAACTTTTTTAAGTAATATTTTTTTATAAATTACTCAATTTTTTTATAAATACTCTGCATATAGTGGCAAACTTTCGAATATTAACTTTAATATTCGATATGAATTTTACGAAAATGAACATAAAGCTCATTTACTTCAATACTGTCATAACTCAAAAAACCGAAAGCCCGAGAAACACGCCTTTAAAGTTTTTAATTCGCATAGCGTCACCCTCATGCCAGAAGCATGAATGTGCAAATTTATCAGTTTTGAGTTATTGGGTTGACTTGGTTAATCTTTTAATTTAATTAATTAATTTAATTTTCTATGTTACACCAAAACCCGGAATACTACGCGTACACGGAAAGTAAATACTTTATAATTTCAATTGCATAAATGTCGACCTAAGTCTCGCAAAAAAAAACTTTCAAACTTGATTTCCCAAAATTTTAATTTTTACACATTCATGTTTATGGCACACGGGCGACGATATGTATACTCCCATACTAATAACACTGGTCTACAAATTTCAACTTTTTTTCTGCGAATAAGACGGGACCTGGTGTTTCTGAACGGATTTTTCGTGCTGAACACGAATCCGGGGTCAAAAATGTCCCATCACGTCACGTTTTCGAGAAAAAAGGGGTTGAAACCCCTAAAAACAGCGTTTTTGGCCATTTTCGAAAAATTATAGAGCTGAACCCTGACGTGGTACAAATTTTGCATATATCAGAAATTAAAGGCTAAACCGTGCCCTTTCGAATGAGCCCTATGCCGAATTGATCGCGTGCACCCTTAAAGCAGGGGGTGTATTTGTGTTTAGGGGTGCAGGAAAAATTGATCACAGAAAGAATTTAATCTTAAACGATCATAGAAAATTAATAATGCCAAGGTTTTAACTATATTAAAAGTCGCTGATTACGAATCTGCAGTTAGATTTTAAAAATTTAAGATGACGGGTCGAATATGGTGGATATAAAAATTGGACTCCTAGACACAAATACACCCCCTGATCTAAGGGTGCATGCGATTAATTCGGCATAGGGCTCATTCGAAAGGGCACGATTTAGCCTTTAATTTCTGACATATACAAAGTTTGTAGCACGTCAGGGTTCAGCTCTACAATTTTTCAAAAATGGCCAAAAACGCTGTTTTTAGGGGTTTCAACCCCTTTTTTCTCGAAAACGTGACGTGATGGGAAGTTTTGGACCCCAGATTCGTGTTCAGCACGAAAAATCCGTTCGGAAACACCAGGTCCCGTCTTGTTCGCAAAACCCTTGTAGACCAGTGTAATTAATATGTACATTATTTGTTCTAGTGAGCTACTGGTAATTGACACGGTTTTGAAATTTTTACACAACCTAGAAGAAAATGTAGCGGTCACTTCAAAATTGGCTTTGGGTAAAAATGTTTAAATAATTGAAAAACGAATATTTTGCCTCCCTTTGATAATGAATGGTGGAAGAGGATGGTCTTCCGACTCGACAACTTGGCCACACTCCAGCTTAAGGCAGCCATCGTTAACCCATGTATTTTATCTTCCTTGTGAAATCTAGCCCATTCTTGAAGAAAACTTGTATAAAAGAGAGCTTATCTTTCCAATAGAGAATGGGCTTCACCACATTTGCATTTCGTCTTCTACATTTGCATTTCATTTTCCAAATAAAGTTATTTATAAATACATGTACGCGTCAAACAATTTTAAAATATTTGCTTTTAAAAACTTGAAAATAAGCTTTTTGCTATAAACATTTAATTTAAGCATGTAAAACTAATTTATCGGAAATTTATTCCAAAAACTCCTTTAGATCAGATTAAAACTATTAAGAGCAGTGACTATTCAATTTACAAATAAGAAGAGGTGAAAAAAGCAAAGCAATCTGATTTTTGTTTACTTTTTGCGTTTGCTTTGAGAATACTTGGAAGTACGAGTATTATCGATACTTTTTTGCAAATATGAGTACTGGCATCGATACTTTTTTAGAGTATTCTATATGAGTACTAGTATCAAAACTTTTATGAAAAGTTCTATCACTAAGACTACCCCTTTTTACCGGTTGGTGCTGGTTAGGATTTTGGGTTTTCGTAGGAGATCGGCATGTTGCTAAAAAATTGATGCAATCTATTAGGAACCGTTTGTTCTCTGCAGACATTTAAGTGTTTGGAATGATGTGAGCTCGCTATAACATATTATGATAGATAGGGCGTTTTCGAATGAGTATGATTTTCTAACTCTGTGGGTAGCAAAATTATACTGGAAGAACTGATAACTGGAATGTGTTTGTCATAATCTAGATAAAAGAGGTATTTCTCATTTTGAGATCTGTGCCCTTTTTAAAACTGCAATCTAATTTAAAACTTTCTGTACTTGCAAAATTACCTTTTTCTAAATTGATCCCTTCTCATTTTCAGCGCACAATTAAAGCTTTGGGCCAAACATGGCATGAGGATTGCTTTGTGTGTGGCGGACCATGCCACAAACCCCTAGTCGGTACGTCTTTCTACGAGCGCGATGGCCGGGCCTATTGTAAAACGGACTTTGAGGAACTCTTTGCGGCACGTTGCGCTGGCTGCACAAAACCTATCACAGAGAATGCGATTGTGGCGTTAAATGCCAAATGGCATAGGGACTGCTTTAAATGCAAGGTGAATGACTACATTGAAACAATAAAAGAGAATGAAGTTTTCTATTCATTTTTATTCATTTTCAGAAATGCGCCAACCCTATCACAGCGAGTATATTCGCCGTTGAAGAGAACAAACCAGTCTGCACAGAGTGCTCAGCCTAAAATGAGCCACAAATAAGCGCAGCGAAAAGCAAAGAAGTGATTATGTAATGTGCATGCGATGAACAATGTATAGCAATCAAAACGAATAATTACCCGAAAATTTTGGATTTTAAAGACAACTCAAATAACAAAAGAGCTAAAAGAGAAAAAATGTACACATTACGAGTCAGAAAGAATTCGTGCAGCTAAGAATTTTTGTTTTTCAAATATGTAATTTCCCCTTAAATGTGTTCGCTATTGCGCCACTAACCAGAATACACATAAAAAATTGCACAAATTTTCGAGAAAAAAGTATTCAAATAACACTTTAATACACATTCCACATAAACACGATCCACATAACCACAGTCCACACAGGCCAACACACAAATTAACGTGCCGAACGCTGTTCACAACCGAATGACCGACTATCGTACGAACTAAATAGCTGTTGTATGTACTATGTTTTCACGGCATAGCCTTGGAGTAGGCTTGGTCTAAAAATGCGCTTTAAGAACCCTTAAAAATTATATACTCGACCATACGAACTGATATTTTTCCCAATTACTGCAGGCAAACTAATTATTTAAGATTCTATTTGCGTTTGAATCGTTTAAAGAATTTCGTTGCTTCTATATTTTCTCTGATTTTTTGATAAAGGAAAACATTAAGCTTAATTGTTTTATATTACTAAGGCCTTTTTTAATAAAAACATGTACTAAAAATCATGTAAATTTTAATGGTTAATTCGCCTAAGCAACAAATTTTTTTATTTTGAATTTTTGCGATTTTCATTCTGTTCTGGACTACCGTTTTTTAACACGAATGAAATTAAAATTTAAAATATTTTGGTAACGGAAAAAAATTGCTTTTTGGTAGTCTCTCTACGCGCTTCGTACAAAAATTAAAATTTTGTTACTTAAGCAATAAATTATCGAATATTTCCCGCTGGACAGTAGATGGCACTCGACTAAAATTTTGACAACTTATATAAAGAGTGGACAGCAAATACTTATTACACGAAATTACAAAAAAAAAAAAACAATAAAATTATAAAGTCATTTTATGTAACTTTCGCATTTACTTTTCAAAAGACGCTTATTACAACATTTGGATATGGTTTCATAAGTTTGCGTAATATGTAAGGTATTACCAAAAATTTATAAAACATTTTAGGTGGGTATTTGCTTTTGAAAATTAATTGCAATTATTACAGCCAATGTACATATCTATTGTATTTACTCGTATGTCGCATGAACAATATTTTTTCGAAACATTCCCAAATTAATATTATTAAACTCTTAATGTTAACGTATAAATTATTTTTGAAAATTTATAATTACTATATAAAAATAATTATTAATAATAATTAAAACATAAACCAACAACATAAAAAGTAACGGCTTTAAATCTAAAAAAAAAAACAATATTAAGCTTTCTCAGATCAATTTTAAATAACATTTATAAAAATTTTAAATTTAAAACGATCAATAAATGTGTGTTTTATTGCAAAGCCACTTGAAAAATCGGCGAAAGTCATTTTTATCTCGCGTCATTCCCTACGATACTATAGGTAATTTAGTGTTACCAACTACTCAGAACGATAAAAATTAAAACTGTAAACTTTGTGCAAAACTCAGCAAAATTCAAAATTTGCATACTAATTTTCAACTTTCTATTCAGATTTTTTAGATTTAGATTTAGTAGCTAGAAAATCGCGTGGGTTTTGGCAATGTTCTTCACGCAGGTTCTTCCACACAAAGTGTGTTCGACGATTATTTTTTTATGGAGAAATTGAGCAACACCTTCCCAAAAAAAAAAAATTCCAAAAATTAACGCGATTCTCTTGCAACTTTAAACTTGCACTTTGTGGTACTAAAATTGAATGGTCTTTAAAACTGCATAGAAAGTTGCAAATTAGTATGCAAATTTATTGAATTTTCCTGAGCTTTGTAAAAAGGTTAGAAATTTTATTTTTTATTTTTTTTTGTATAGTAGAACCAAGGTACATTGAACAGGTAGTATCAGTAGAGCAGCTGATTTGATTTATTTTCAAATTATTTGGTCTCGAAAATGTCAAATATTTTTAATTTTTTCTCACAAAAATTCTGAATTGTTAAAATCCATTTGCATGTGAAACCTTTTTCCATACAAAACAAGCGATTGAATAGCAGCTTTTGGAACGTTCGCCCAACTCAGCAGCACGACCGCTGATTACTGGGCCTTGCAAATGATGGATCAATGCTTCGAGAAGCAAACAAATTTACTAGGAAAGAAAGTTGCATCAATATTTTTTTTCCAAATTCAATTTTTTATTTTTTATAATTTTTTGTATTTCACATGGCACGCTTTGATTTAGAAGAAAAAATTCAGAACAGTTTTTGACACTTTCGATACCAGAAGCAACAACAAAATACACGCAAATGTTGTTTTTGCTCTACTGATACTACCTGTTTAATGTGCCTTGAGTAGAACTATATTTTTATAAAAAATTATCGAAAATGCATTGGATAAAAAAACTTTGCTATTGTTGCGAAACATTCACTGTGCCAGTACTTTTGTTGGCCACTGCATGTACTTATACATATTGTAATTGAATCACTTCAGTTATTTGCTATAATTTTTTAATTAGCTTACCGTCATAAGCTAATAACTTGTTTAGCATGAAAAGTGTTATTAACAGGGACGTTCCGATACCATCAAAGTATCGATACATACTTAAATGAGTTTATTCAAATCGCTTTTCGATACTACTTATGTATATGAGAAAACCGAATGTATCGATACCTACTTATAAAGCGAAAGTAATTTTCAGGCGTTATCTGTGACACCTAAGTGGAAGATGAACCGATCTCGGCAGCCAGTTCAAAAACGCCTTATCTCAGAAATCTTTTCAAGAACACCCTATTTCAGAGTTCGGTGCAAAAACGCCCTTTGTCAACTGCCGATTCAAAAACGCTCTATCGCAAATATTTTCAGTTGAGGTAGGGCGTTTTGAACCAAATTCTGAAATAGGGCGTTATTAAAAAGTTTTCTGAGATACTTCAATCTTCCACTCAGGTGTCGATATGTATATTTATTTTATTTATACGCTACAGGCAATACGATTACTTAGGCAAAAAATTCAACCTTTGAAAGGTTCCCACACAACTTTATGGCTACAAAGCATTGCTTGAACTTTGCTGTGGTATTACCAACTTTGTAAAAATATATCCACACTTCTGATTTTGGCGGTGTCATTGTTTAAAGTAATTATATTTTATAAAAACGACGCTGTGCAAAGATTCATCCATAGGAAAAATATGGCCGACAAAATATGGCACTTGCTCAAATCGATTCGATACAAGTACTTTTCTTTCGATACTAAGTAGGTATCGAAACAACGACTCGAATAAAAAAAAAGTAGTTGGTATCGTAACAAAAGTATTGAGTACATACTCGTATTTACGTGTATAGGAATATCCCTAGTTATTAATTCTATCTACTAATTGTTGATTTAAGGCTTAACAGTTCAATTTTATTAAGAGCTTTCATTAATCAAATAATAATTTTTGATTACTGGGGGCATATCGCTCATTTACTTCAATAGTATCATAACTCAAAAAAAACCAAACTCAAGAAAAACAGCTTAATGTTTTTAATTTACACATACTCCCCTATTAAAAATGATTACATATTTTTTGTTCTAGAGCTACTACTGGCAATCGATACATCTATGAAACTTTTACACAACATAGAAGAGGTAGCAGTAATTTGTGCGTGCTTAACTCCACATTTGCATTTTTGGATTATGATGCTATTGAAGTAAATGAGCGATATTTAAAATTTCAACCAAGTCCTCCATATATTTTTATGAGCTGTATTCAGCATTATATGTTGACAGTCAGATTCAAAATTGGCAGGAACATATAACAATTTAGGCAAATCGAGTAATCATACGATTACGGATGCCGTAATTTGTCTCAGTTCTCTAATTCTTTAATTTGTAAGTACTTGCAATTGTCACAACCCTTTAAAAAAATTTTGAATGCTCGGAATTTATGAGTCTGAAAAGATTCTAGTCTTTCGTCACCGATTTGTTGCGTGCGTCTTTATGTTTATGAGAAGCTGTTTTTCATCGCAAAAATACACTCTTCGGAAGTTTGCCATTGCCTGCCGACGGATTAAACTTATCCATTGATTATCAAAATTTTTTTTTAACTGTTAAGGAATTTTTATACCATTAATTCTTTGGGAGAACATTCATAAGTTGCGAATTTATCGTCCAGCATTGAGAATACTTAAATAGGCGGACCATGTATCTACGACATCTTCATGTTTTTTCGATTTCAGGCCTTGGAACTTTAGGCCCGGCGAATTTACGATGTTTAGCGCGGAATACTAATTAAATACAGGGAAATACAAAAGTATTTTTCTAACTTCATTTTAAAAGACTGCATTGATTAAATGTGCCATTGAATTTAATTGGGTTAAAAAAAAAATTAAAACAAAAAGCCATCGATATATCGATGCTTTTCTGGCGATAAACATACTTATTCTAGCATCGATGCTGATTTTTGCTATGCATTGAAACATCGACCACCACCACAATAATATACATACAATGAGAATAAAGCAAACTTCTGATAATACTATTTGATCGCTCAGCTAAAATGGGTAATCTATTGTTTTAACTTTATTCCCTCAAATAAAATTGTTTTTATTCGATTTATCTGGTTTCGGTCATATTTGATCGTTATGTAAATTAGCAAAGTTCGGCGTGAATTTGATTTGAAAATATTACTTTTTACTCATCTGCTTTGGTTTATTTTAACAAGATACTGTTTGTTTTTAAAACATTACATCGAAAAATGCGCAGGAACATATCGAAAGCGAATCATCAAAACAACACATGTAATTTTGAAAAGACAATGACATGAGGACATAGCAGCGAAAGGATACAGTTTTTCAAAAAAAAAAAAACGAAGTGACCGCGATGTTACAATCCTTTTGGGGGTGAATTTTATTCAAATGCAAAAGTCACTCAACACAACGATTTTATAGCCGTCGATTTGGATTACAGGTACCAACGCCCAATTTCACTTTCATTGTTGACTACGAACTTCTTTAATTTTTTAAAGAATTTACTTCAGACAGGAACTACTAAAATTTGCATGCGATTTTCTCAAATTTTCTAGTTTTTTTTGGGGTTTTTGCAATACAGTTTTCAGTTTTTTTTTTTTCAATTCCCGGCTGTGGCGCTTGACTGATATAACTGATATGAGTATTTCACAATAGTTGCTGCTAGTGATATTTTGGCATTCAGCGCCCAAGTTTGAAGTCCTAAAATATAGGATTTAATGTGGAGCTGGTGTGGCCGGCCGTTGAGCCATTTATATACATATGCAGACCCTTCAGGGTACCAACAACCATAAGATTATACACTTACCTTCTTCTCGAGCACCGTACCAAGCGTCTGCATGATAGGTTGGAGCACTTGTCGCATTTGTTCTTTGGTTACAGTTTGCAATGCCTCGACGAGCGCCTTATTCAAGTTGGGCTGCTTATCGGAATTCATACTCGGCTCAGCAGGTGGCACTGATATATCTGTTACGCTATGAATGATACCCTATAGGATGGATGGAAGAAAAGCATTCGTTAAGAGGGTTAGTGAACGCAAAAGTGGGGGATTGTTATTCATGGTTAAGCGAAGCGACTTACCGAGCTGTTTGTTAACTCGTTGATCTGAGTTGAAATCTGATCCCCATCGGGCTTTATGATGACCATGTGTGATGTTTTGGGTGTTGCTGGAGTTGTTGTGTGGATTTTTGTTTTCGTCTTCGTTTTTATGTTTGTATTTTTCGCGCTAGGATTTGGAACGCGACGTTGTTTGGGATTGCGCCGAAGGTTATAATGATTTTTCGGCACCAATTTTGGCTCGTACATATTTAGATCGTTCATAAACATTTTCAGGCTATAATTGGATGCAGTCTGGAAAAACGAAGTGTTAAAAGTAACACATTATTTAAGATCGAAAAAAAAATCAATTATAAAAATTCAAAATTTCATTTGTTGTTATCTTAGGAGGTTTGATTCTAAAACACATTATGAAAACTTGCTTTACGATAATTATCACGCGCCGTAAGGAAACGTTCTTCGTGCATATCCTCCAGAAAACCTAGAAATTTAGTGCAACGATCTTGTAAACACTCAATTATTGCATCATTCCGATCGAAGATTTGCTTTTCCAGGCAAATGTTCACCGTTGTTGCTGCCAACTCAATGAGCGTATGCAACTTTTGCGGCACCTGATCGAGCAAAAAGTAACGCAATTGCTTGTAATAGGTCTGCAGTGATTGGTGAATAAGTGAAAAAATATTGAGCACACGTAGAGTGGCCTCATTTGAGGAGGCACTGCACAATTGTTCCACCGAAACTATGTGTAGATCCTCGATCTGTAGGTAAATAACCAAGGAAAAAAGGTGAAAAAATATGAATGAAAAAGTAAAATGTGTCATTGACTCACCATGCCTTTTAAAGGATACAGAAAATTGCGTGAAAATCTTACAGAGAATTCGAAGGCATTTTTTTGACGCTTTGTCTTCTCATGGTGGCTATCCGGTACATAAAGCTCTGATAGGCTGATACTAGAAATGTAGAATTAGAATAAACCATTAATTTTAACTCACTGTGTACATTAGGATGCATCACGGGTCTGGTACGATATGTCGAAACTAAAAACACCGAAAAAAAATTTCGAAAAAAATAGCTAGAAAATAAAAATGTCGAGAAAAAAAATTTCGAAATAAAAATGTCGAAAAAAATATGTATCGAAATAATCATTACATTATTTCAACAGGTTGATTTATTTAAGTTAAATTTGTTGCTCCTTCACGCTAAAACGTCTGGATGTATATCAATTAAATTTGGAGTACAGATAGTTTATATCCTGGCTTAACATATATGTAAAATTTTTTTTTTTGAAGATAGTTGCCACCTCTTTCAACAGTCAAAATCGATCGGTTCAGAAACTATATATTTCGAATGTATTTTTAAGGGGTTTGCCACCTATTTAAAAAATAAAAGTCAATTAATTGATAACTAAATATACTTTAAGACGGTTGCTATCTGTTTAAAAAGTTAAAATTAATTCTATTAAAAGGTTTAAACGAAATAGTTTAATGTGGGTTTAAAACGAGATAGGCAAAATGCTTTATTGTAGAAATATTTTAAGGGGGTTGCCATTTTTTAAAAAAGTTAAAATAAATTTTAAAATTGAGTAAAATATTATAATATGTGTGTCAAAAGAGTGAGGTTTAAGAAAGCTTTATTTCGAAAACATTTTTGAATAGGGTTGCCTCCTTTTCAAAAACAAGTTAACGGTTCGTCGATCTGTGGGTAGAATTCTACTTAAAATGCTATATTAAATTACAATCTAAAAAAAAAACAAGTTTAAATTATAGCAGAAATGTCTATCTATTTATTCTGTGCAAGCTAAATGAAATACCCCAAAGGGATTTTGGCATGAAAAAAGACGTGTAGGCAGTAGGACAATTGGCCGGTTTTTTCAAATGATTTCCACCGGTTCTTTTTTGTTGAAATCTATAGACGTTTTTTTTTTTAAATCTTGCTTTTTCGAATGCGAATAAACCGGGTTTTTTGATCGAACAAACCGCCTTTTTTCCTGTTCTGTTACATTTAAAGTGGATAAAACCTAGTATTTAATAGTTTGATAATTAAAGAGATAACTTAATCAATTCCCTTGGTATTAACGAACGTAAATTAACAAATTCTTACTATATTGAAAAAAACCAACATATTTAAAAGAACTTAAAATTTAAGGGAACTTACAATATTCGACACATTTTGTATAGGTTAAGAGACAAACACCTAAATAATTTTTATTTTTTCAAAAATTTAATTTAAATTCCACTTTTTCGAAAAAAGTTTTTTCGACGTTATTTTGCAGAAATTTCTTTTTCCTTCTTAGGAATTCTAGAACTTTTGAAAAGCCACTCAGAACACTTTTAATTTTCATTTTTTTTTTTAAATAACTTTTTCGACATTTTCGACGTTTTGCATTTTTTTCGACCTTTGTCATTTCGAAATGATACGATTTCAACATTTTCTGTTTCAGTAAAATATTATTTCGGGATTTAAAAAATTTGAAATTTCGACATTTTTGTTTCCACATTTTTATTTTCGACTTATCGTACGGATCTCGTCCATCAGTCCCCATACAAAAAAAAAATCGGTACTGTGTTTCCATTGGAATTATAAAATCCATTATATTTTAAGACTTTCACCAAAATAATAAAATGTAATAAAAAAATTTTAATTTTCAACGGAATGAGATTTTTTATGGTGTTTTTTAACTTTTTTCAAAGATTGGTGTACAAAAAATTGAATAACTGAACCTAAACTATTCCGATTTAGCCTTGTGAGGTATAATTGGAAAGGTATTTTCTCACCCTTTTTAATTATTTGCTAATAAACTCATTCAAAGGATGAAAGAGAATGCTAGGATGATCGAGCGTCATTCCAAGTTAAATTAAGATGTATTGGTATTTGTAAAAAAAATGTGACGTGAATGAGCTTTTTTGTGCACAGAAATAAAATAAAGTGAGAAAATGCCTTGAATGCCTCATGAAGCATAATATGAAGTATGTGCAATTATTTTTATGCCAATGCCAGCCAAGAAGCAGGAGAAGATTGCGTTTTCTTGACAAACCATTTTTACGAACCCTCGTGGAAATAAAACCAATTGCCAAAGGTTTTAGCGCCAAGAGCGTGATTTGTACCCGAGTGAGCACTTAACATCGTAGGGAATTGGCAGCTCCATTAGGTATTATACAGTTATAATAAGAAATTAAAAAGCAAAACAATCCGGTTATAAAATAAAATTAAGGCATTAACTTACCGCAACTTATCCAATGTTTCAATGATTCGCTCTTGCATGCTGGTCATTTTTGCAAATATTGTCATCTTTTCCATTTTAAGATCCTCAATCGATTTGGTTAGTACGATATTTTTCATAGCACGCAACTCGTTGGAGCTGATATTTTGACTTTTGCGATCTTTGTGTTGCTTCGGTGTTGTTGGTCTAGATTTTCTTCCAGTCGTGCGTGTGGACTTCTCAGTTGTCGGTGAGAAATCAGCGCCACGTGCTGACAACTTTTTACGTGGACTGGCTTTGACCTCTTCAACTGGCTTCTTTCGAGCTTTTATTATTTTTCTCTTTACTTCCCTAACAGGCGATATGGCTGCCTTCTTTGCTGGCGATGGTGAAGGCGATTTTATGGCACGATTATTGATAGACACTCTCATCTGTTGAAGATACAAAGATAAAAGATGAATTGAATTGCTTGCAAATAGGATTAGTTTTTACAATCTTGCAAACCTGTTGATTTATACCAGCGGCGGTGTTATCCTCCTCGCGGTCATCGGTCACGTCCGAGTAGCGTATTGGTGAGACATTCTTCAGCAAACTTAAATTAAGGCTGTCAATTGCCGGCTGTAAAGGAATGCTCATTGAGGTATTTACCGCTAATTTCTATTTTGTTTACATACTTCGACTTCGATGAATTGCGCTAGGCCTTCGCTGTTATTCGACTCGTTGATCAGTTCCTCGATGGTTTTTGGGCGTTGACCACAAAGTTTCGTATATTCGGCGCGTCCCATCATCTCGTATTCGAGATCACTATCTTCCACGTCATACGTCGAAGCGTTGTCATCGTAGCTGCTTTGCTGATAAGGAACTGTCATGCTCGGCAGACTAGGCGGTGGTGGTGGTTGATTCTTCAACTTCATTTCCGGCGCATTTATTTGTAGCGGCAGCTGTAACTCATGCGAATGCATTGTGTACATGACATCGGTGGGCAAACGCTCGGTTATTTCGAAAGAAGACTCCTTCTCCACCAACGTTTCACCATCATTGTCTATTTGCATTTTGATTTCACTCAATTGAGCTGTCGCTTTTGCTGGCGCTTCACAAATTTCCACCCACCTGGGTTCAAGCTGCCGAAATTCCTCAACAATCGTTGGCATTACGGTTTTTGATGCGAGTAACTCATCTTCCTCCGGCACATCGGGCAGCTTATTTAAGCCGCTGTGCAGCTCACGTCGCATATGTGGCATTTGCATGGTGTGTGTCTCAAATAACGATTCCTGCGGCATGTCGAATGGATGATAACCTACTTGGTCCTCAGAGGTGGGCTCCGAAAAAAATGTATCACTATCACCGTTGTCATCAACGCCAACGCAAACATCACCCGTGTGGCTTTGGCGCGCGCCACAGTGGTAAGCGTTGCCTAAGCTACCGCCACTAGGAAATTCGTATGTCCTTTGTCGCAAAATCCCCTTTAATGCGGATGGTGGATTTACGGTTTTTGTGGTATCTTTGGCTTTAGCGTAAGTATCGGTTGAGTTCTGCTTGCGTAGGTCGCCATAGCTCTTCACTTTACCAATCAGCTGGTTGATTTCAATGTCGCTCAAATTGCGCACGCGCCCGGTGGCATCATTGCGCGAAACTTGTGTCTCGACATCTGCGTCGCGACAATAAGGCGTGTTCACATCGCTAACGGCAGTTATTTTCCTTGCCTTACACAGTCGATTCAAGATGTCCTTTTTGCGGTGTCTGTCATGCTCAGCCACGTTGTGTTGCACCTTCTGTATGGCGCGCTCCAAGTGCTCGGGGCGGGCGTACTGGGGAGTAGGAGAGATAGCAAAAAAACTAAAAAGAGCTATCCTTTTTTTTTTGTGGCGCTCCTAACCTAAAGTCGGCCGCGCGTTATCTTACCTTAAATTCAAAGTTTCTTGTCGTCGTAATCAATTCTGGATCATTGTGCAGCGAAAATCCATAGAATTTCTTACCATCGAATTCATTCATGTTTCTCTTAGTCCCTCTTTCCCTCTTCTTTCTTTTTCAGTATGCTCGACGCTTCAACTGCTGCAGTATGCTGGCCTTTTTAGGTCCTTTCCCTGTTTCTGTTGCTTTTGTTATTTGCTATCAGTTGTTGGTGTTCTACAGACGCCTTATAAATTGTTGGAAAATTTTCAATTTGAAAATTGCAAAAACCAATTGTAGAAAAAATAAAAAACTTTTTTGTAAATGTTAAATTGAAAAATATATATTCACAACTGATAGTTTTTTTTTGATTTTTTCAATTCTGAAGTTACTCACAAAGCTGCCTGAGCAAAGGAAATGCAAAATTTATTTCTTCAAGCGCGCTACGAAACGTTAATATCGAAATTGCCCTGCTGAGGGTAATTTGAAAAACGAAATGAGTATGCGTGCGTGTTTGCTTTTAGCTAGTGTCGCAGTCAAATTGGTGGGTGCGTCGAATATGTTACTAGTTAGTAAAAGAGCATTTGAAGTTAGCTGCATAGGTGGTGGGTATACATATGTATGAACCGAGTCAGCTGTCGCTACCAAGCGCCTAATTTAGTTTTTGCTGGTTAAGAGGGGTTGTTAACACAAGTAAATGTGTCTCTCTGAAATTTCAATGTGGTTAAGAAAACTAAAAAATCCATGCCGTTTTTAATGAGAGACTGGTAAAAAGATAGGGAGTGTCTACAATATATTGCGTTAATACAATTTTTTAAACATTTTTATGCAGACCTTTTAAGTTAAAAAAACCACCCCAGAGAATAGCTGTGTTTCATTTGAAAAACGTACGTACTTGGTATTTGCAAATTGGGCCAGCTCACGTATAATCTTATATTTTTTCGAAATATTTTAGAGGAAGTCTTTAAATAGAATACATTTCATAAATACGGTGGAAGCCCAGCAACTTTTTTTGGTGTTTGGTGCTTTTATGTACATACATATGTACATAAGAGTATCTATATGTTCCTAGAAACCCCTTGAATGTTATTAAGGTGTGAGTGAGATCAATACGGCTTGTCTCGTTATTAAAGCTTTGAAGCTCACCATTCACTGCGCTAGACTTTAGACTTTCCAGGGTTTTACGCGAACAAACACATATCACTTTTTGGGCAATAAGCCGAGCCCTAAGAATATGGTCTTATCGGTAGCATTTCATTGGAAATAGTCGCTCACTGGAAAAGGGTTGGATCACTATTATGGTACATACATACATATCTAAACAGTTTTGTGACACAATACCGGCTTTTCATGGTTGATAATAGGGATGTTGCGGATGTGGAATTTTACACATCCGCGGATGCGAATGCGGATGCGAATATCTCACAGCTAACATCCGCGGATGCGAATGCGAATGCGGATGTCAAGTATTTTTAAAAAACAATTAGAATCTAGCATAATGGCGAGATCGTTGTTTAAACAGCGCTTACAAGCCAACCCGAATACATATGTCATGTTTCAGAATTTGGAGAACCTGTAACTTTATCAGCACTTTACGATTTTAGTTTTTGTAATTAATTTTTAATACTTTCTTCTGCGACTGCTTTGAAAAATTTGTGCTTATAGCGAGCTAAATAGGTGGATATGGAAAATAGATTATTATTTTTGAACAAAATTCTGTTTCCAAAGTCGTGGCTGCCAGCCGAATCGGATCAGAATATTGTTATTTTTTTAAAGCACCCCGTTTTTTATAAGCATTTGAATAACAGATAGTTACCCAATTCTTATCTAATTAAAGGTCAGACCTATAGCTTTTTAATTATTTGAGCATCGATTCTCTTTATAGCTAGACGTTGATCATTTCTACTGGAAATCCCCATTGAAGGAGCTTACTCATTGACTTTAAATAGCAAAGAAGGGACAGTTTTACCACAGAAGTTTTTAACCAAGGATCCAATGTATATCCCTATGAAAAAAATATTATCCAACAAGTAAACAGAACTACTGTTTTTTAAACTTTTGCTGAAATTAAATTCCCCAAAGAGCTCCATTTGAAATTATTCAAACGAATAAATGTAATAGGTGGCATACGAGGTACGTCCCACCAAACAATTTGTGTTGCCGGCAATAAGAAAACGTGTCGCCCTCGGAAATAAATTTATTGCCGGTAATATTGCCATCGAATCGATTTCCTATTACCGGTCGCTCTAAAACGTCCGCCGAAGGCAACTCGCCTGGGCGAGCCGTTTTCTTATTACCGGAATGAGTCCTTTTCTTATCGCTTCAGGCGATATTTGGAATAATTTTATTCTTTTTAATACTTCATTTATTTTTTTGTATACCAAATTGCAACTTACAATCGGAATTAATTCATTTTCTCGCTGTGAGGCTTCCTATTTTTTCAATCTTGTCCTTGGGCATAATTTAGATGCTTTTGGCCAATACTATTGACGCCGTATTCATAAGTTTCGGAATTTTCGAGAACTTATTTATTCAAAATTGACATGAACGAAGTGATGTTGCCGATTTGTCACCACAGCGATAAATCGGTGAGTCGCCAATTTGTTGCCATTGACGATTGTTGCCTATTTCTCATGTTTTGCATGGTGGGGTCTGACTCGCGAGTCATTTGTGTACGTGTTGACTCGCCTTCGACTACACACAGTTGAATCATTCAGAGTCATGCCGGGAGTCATATTGGTGTAACTAACACATATTTATTTTCACAAACACATCCAAACCGACTCACTCAGTCAGACGCACCGTGTATGTTGCCTATAACATCAAAAGCAAATCACGAACATTTTGTTAAGAATTACAGTTCACACTTTCTTCTTTTGTGTCTAGTAGTTTTTTTTTTAGATTGGTCCAAAAAAATCATAATAAAGAAAGAAGCCAAAGCAGGTATTTAAAGCACAGAAAAAAATATTATTAAAAGGACTATGTTCTCTTTGACTTACATCAAAGGTCAATTTGAAATGGGAACTTTTATGGCTGCCCATTGATAGCTCGGTTATATAGCTTAAGAAATAATATTTTAAAGACATTTTTATCAAAGTTGATATATATGACATTTGACCAGTTTTGTTACACACATACTCCTACGACCACAGGCAAAAATATTGGCTACAATATGTAATTTTTTGTTTGCCATATATACGTTTTATCGGTCTACTTGCAAAATAATCGCATTCGCAAAAGCTCCGCATTGATTATTGCGAATGCGAATGCGAATGTTAAAATTAATGCGGAAGCTCATCGGTTGCGAATGCGAATATTCGCAACAACCCTTGTTGATGTGTAGTCTGAGTTCCAAATTGCATCAACGCAAAGCATCAGCCTCTTTTATTTCTAAATTATAACTGTTGGAAATGTCCTTTTTTGCAATGTATGCAGTTTTGTACTCCAATAAATTTTACTGTAATAAGGTGCAAGGTTGAAACAGTTAGGACTTACCGTTAATTTTTGGCAATTTTTTCAAGCAGTTTTTTCCATACAAAAAAGTTTCGAAAATACTTTGTATGGAATACATGCGAAACGCCCTCAGCAAAAAAAAATCTGAAAAATCAACTTGCATTTTAACATATATGTAATACTCCTATATTGGCAGTAAGAGCTAGTACCGTCCGAAAACACTACAGTACAGATATATCAATAAACACGTACGAAAGAAAAGGAACACATACGTTTATAAATAAACATGTACACAACAAATATACAAAAACGGCACTCAAGTACACAATACATTGACAAAAACAGTACTAGACTGTCTCGCTCTGATTTCGGAATGCTTACACATTGAGAAGTTAGCTTCCTGCCAATATAGAAGTATTACATATTTGATTTTTAAGCTAGTATTACTGGCTACAAAACTGCATACTCGAAAAAAAATCCGAAAAATCTGATTCAAAAGTTGGATGAAGATTTATTAAATTTTTGCTAGTTTTGCACAAAGTTTACAAACTGTATTTTTATGTTTTTTTGTTGCATAATGAACCATATGTTTTTGAAAAATTAACGGACAATCCTTTTTTTCCGGCAGTGTACAAATATTTTAACACGTCCGAACAAGATATTCCTTTCGACCGAGGTTACTGAAACCTCTGGCTGCTGTGTGTGATGTGTAGCTGACAGCCATATAAACATAGATATCTAAGAAAAATATTATTGAAAACAAACGAATGAGCCACGGTTACAATAACATTTATTTAACTGTTCAGGCGCTGTTGAAAATTAGTGATTGGAAGCAAATTCTTCTAAGTGTGAAATCACGGTTGCCACTTCAACATAACGACATAATATATTTACCATTTAAATTATATGTGTGCGTTTGGGTGCCTATTTCTTTCAAACCCACGTCGAAATTTTGAAAATTTTACCTCTTAATATAAATATTAAGTGCTTGACCAAGGCGTGCGAAGATTTCCCGTTTAAAATACACGTAAACTTAGATTTTTTTGAAAATTCTACAGCTCAGAGGCATTTTATGTAATAATCTTGGTCAATGATGGGTTTTCTTCAGAAACGAATGCTCTACAACCGGCGTAACCCTAACTCCCACCAGCGAGGTAGTACGGGTCACTAAACTCAATTTTTAATGAAATTCTGTTTTTTGCGCCAATCTCGTAAATAAAAAGCTTTTTGCAAAAATTATAAAAATTCTGCAAAGTTCCACCAAAGTTTCAAACTTTTTATTTAGAATCCTTACAAAAAAATCGGCATTCTGTTTTGTAGCCCATAAAATTTTAGTGCAAGTTGGTGAAAAAACCCCTTGATTTTTGAAGTTTTTCTTTCTTGGCCGTGTCACGCATTTTCTGTTTTAAGTAGAAACCAGAATCGCACCAAATAGTATAATAATGAAAAACATAACTTCGCTTAGTTTTTAATAAATAGAAAATCTTTTTATTAATTATACGGATTATCTGATAATAGTTTACAAAACTACATTCATAAGTTGGTCAATTATCAAGAATGATTTGGAGAGAATTTCGAATTCCTTTAAATGTTGAGATAGATCAAAAATCTTAATACTAAACTATTATTAAATATTTTAAAAGCTATTTGCTGGATGTAATAAATATAAATATGTATGTATGCGAAATACCATTATTGTCGCTTAAGAAATATGCACACTACAAAAATATGTAAGGGTTTTCATACACTTTTTTTTTGCTAACGCTAATTTTGAGATTTGGAAAAAAACTGCAATCAAATTATTTAATTCAATAACAATATTCGTTACCATTTTTATGCAAGTATTGCGTTATTGCTTTCATTACTGAATTGAACTTTTTAGATGCATAAGTTTTTATGAAAATATGTATACATTTGTATATCTATGTGTGTGTGTGTTTTACAATGCAGGTAACTCTTATTTTCTTATTTTTTACACTTCAGCAGGCAGTGCATTTTCACTGTTTGAATTATGTGCCCTCTTATAATTTATATCTTCCAATATTTTCGAAATTTGTACGTTCTAAGTACTATACCTAAAGGCCGTTTCCGCCCATCTATTCCGCTCTCTTCTTTCCTTGCCCAACCCAGGACCACGGGTGCCACCCATTCAACGCGGTCATTCGAAATCCGCACGGCTGGCCACGTGAATGATGATGATTATTATGAAGAACGTCAACAGCAGTAGAGCCAATTTCATATCGACGAAAAGAGCGAGTCAAGAGAGCAAAGATCAGCCGAAAATGTTTGAATACAAACTGTTAAGGCCATTGCTGATGGTGGAGAAGATGCCGCTATCACTGTATGTGGCGCTAGCGGGTCGATAGTGCTGTTGCGGTATCGGCAGTGGGCGATAGAAGGGTAGGGTACTGCCTTCGGTGCGCTGCGAAGAGGTGAAGAGTGAGAAAATCATTCGTTAAGTGGGTGAAACGAAAGGAAAGCTTGAAGGAAAAACACGTGCGAAAATGATTACGGAAAGATCGGAGTCATGCTGTACATACATATGGATGAGCGCACAAGCGCCGCAGGGTATGCAATGCAATTGAATTTTATGTGATGTTAAATGTGTACACGGTGAAAAATGGGTGCATATATTTTTTCGGTGCATGGATGGAAAAATGTTAGATGTTAATGAATTGAAATACAGAATTTATTAAAAATGTGAAATGGAATATGGGATGTGCAAGGTTGATTAAACAAAAAAAAATTAGCTGATTGAATTGGATTACCTGGTAAAGAAAAAATAATAATTTTTGAAATTTTCGATGCTTACACCTATATATGAATGCAGTGAGGTTAAATATTTAAAAAAAAAAATATTACGCAATATTGAACCAAAAATTATATTTTTGAAATTTTCGTAGAGTTTACATATCGAGCTGTAACCACCAAAAAGATGTAAGCGAAACTTTTTTTCAAAATTTTCCTTTTAATGCTGAAATGTTCCTAGATATATTTTTGCATCAAAAATTAAATTTTGAAAAAAATATCGCTTACATCTTTTTGGCGGTTAGGGCTCGATATGCACTTATGTAAGTATGAGTGAGATTAGATTATAAAAGATAAAATATTATGCAATATAAACACAAAACTACGTATGTATTTATAATATCAAGAAATTCTATTAAAAAATGTATGGCAAGTGAAAATATGTACATACAGTTTTAAAAGGATATAATATATTATTTTAAGAAAATTTGTCTAAATAAGTATGTACTTACTCATAAATACTACAATTGAAAACGTGTATTTTTTTAGGGGGCGGATCAAAGCAGTTTTCCAGTACCAGCACAGAGCAATAAAAATTGTATAATATTTTTTTAAAGACTAATTATTTTTTAATAAAAAATAGTAACTATAAAAATTTCAAACTCCAATTTATCATTAAAAAAAAGTAAAAAACTTTGGTAAAATAAAATTAATTAGCCCTGGGTAACACTAAACTAACGAATCCCTTAACAGTTCCCATATGCGTCTGTTCCTCCTGTCAAAAAAAGTCTCCAAGTCAGGAGCGCCCAATTGCGTGGTGGGTCCTAGACAAAAAAAAGCTCAGAAACGAGGTGTCCATAAGGAAGTGTTTAGCAAGAGCGCGGTTACCCACGAACGTGTACGTAGCGTACCGTAGAAGTACGTAGAAACATATCAAATTTGCTGTTGTAATGAGGTGGTGAGTTTTCGTTGACACGCAAATCCCATAAGATAGATCGTGTCAGCTAACACGTTCTCCGTTTTTACGTCCGTCGGTAACTGCGCTTTAAGGATCAGAAGATTACGGTGCAGGAAGCGGTATACCCAATACCGGCGGTAGAAGATGAGCGAAAAGGCCATCTGGCGTCGAAATTCTCTGGTTGTGTACTTGGAAGGAAGACGGGAATGCGCCGAAGAGTATTTAAGGCAGACAGGCAGGTAGCCGTGGAAAATAAGCAGAAATAGCCTTAGAATATCAGTGCCAAACTTTGTGAGCATTATCATTGGCAACGCTTCGAACGAAGACGATTTTTAGCGACAAGCTATAATTGGAACCCTGGCTCCACAGTTGACGAATGCTAATGGTAAGCCAGAGGAGGTTGTATCGAAGACTATTTTAAGCACAAGGCACAAGAAAGGAAGTGGGCGGAGGACGGGACATTGCATACCAACTTGGCAGCATTATTATTGTGGAAAATTCCGATGTTCACAAACAACGCAGGCAAATGGCTGCAAAGCTAAGATGTTGTTACTTGGAGAACCATCCATGCCTTCCACGTCTGAAGCACGAAGAAGGAACTAAATAAACCGCCGAGGGCCAGAAAGATCGATTTCCATTCTGAGAAAAATTAGAAATATAAATTCATCACATAGTTGCTTTCGCAGCAACATCAGTCGAACTCATAAGTTCTCTGGGCTAGACACAAAAAATAACATCATAGGTCTGATTTGGCGTTTATGGGGGAGTTAAATAGGCCGAAGCCCGTGGCATACTTAGACTCGTCCGCTATTCTGCAGTTATGCATTATTGGCAAAGTCAGCCCTGTTGGAAAGATAACGCCAAATATCTAACTGGCTACTAGTAGACGCTCGTCTAACGGAATTGATGCTCGAGGCCGTCAGCGAGTATCTAATTCGTTTTTTGATGAAGCTTAATGGCGGCCGCTGTGGTGTAGTGGTTAGCAGTGCGCGTTACCATTCTGTGAGCCCAGTGTCCGAACAACATCAAAATAGTAATAAACAATAAAGTTTTTTCCAATAGCAGTCTGCCCTCGGCAGCAATGGTAAACCTCCGAGTGTATTCATTTAAATTCATTCCAAGATGGAATCGGCCCTAGAAAATATTACCAAGTGGGCAAGACAAAATACTGGATGGGACAGACTTGAAACATTTTACGAGCCGAAATTACTTAGTAATAGCGATAATACAGGGAATGGTAGAATATGATCCTTCACTTAAAGCCACCACAAGTCTTCATTACTGGTGCAGCCGTAAAAGAGGACCTCAGGCGGCATAGCGGGAGGAAGGCTGACACTGATTACTCTACGTCATTTTGGTACTTACAATTTTCAGCTACGGAAGAATGGGAAATGATGGCATGATCTACACTTATGTGTTAAAGTCAAGCATTGTTCAGAAGTGTCACTGGCATGACAAAATCGCATCAAAGCCTCTCTCTGCTGCATTCTGGAGAGTCGATCATCGAGGCGGAAACCTTCCTACAACCACCGATTTGTGATTTACTGTGGAAATTTGAATTTTGGCGAAGGCATAAAGAATGAACTATAGACCAAGGGCGACGACTGTGAAGTCTCATAAGTTGAATAAGAAACGAACTGAGGGACTTTTAACGTTAACGAAATTTTCGGTAAGAATTCTTATAGGGTCATCATTAGCAGACTTTGACGTTGCATCAATGCTAAAAAGGTGGCGTATACCGAAAAGTTCTAAAAGCAGAAGTTGTTGGGTCCTCGAAACGGAGGAATCGATTCATCTATACTATGTCAATGTCTAGCTTTTCGGAACAAGGTACTTCAAGCGGTGGCGATCCTGCTCAGGATCTCACCAGCTTGGCAGAAATAAACGAAAGTGTACCTATTGGACCTCATTTATCCTCCAGTCGCAAATGAAGCAAAATAAATTAAAATAATAAAAACTGAACGCAATAAAATAAAATTAATGAAAATACTACAGGAAACAAGTCTACATGAATACCTATTTAAAAGACATATTTGCATATTTAAACTATAAATAGCATTTCAAAAAAAATTTACGATTTTGTTTTAAAAAATTGTAAGTGTTGGTTTTATTGCAATTTTTATTATTAGAAAATGATTACTAAAAACATAAACCGGGAACAGATTTGGTCGCAAGCAAATATGTTTTCCTAAATTTAAAAATATTTATTTGCAATGATAATCACTCGACATAAAATAAATATCCCTTTTTGCTATTTACTTATTATTTTAAATTTATTAATTCTTTGCCGTTTAACTACTAATTTCAAAGCTAACTAATTACTAGGGAAAATTATTCTATCATTCCCATTCCTGCCATTGCTCTTAATTGTGGCTATTTTACTTGTTGTGGTGGTGGTGGCAATTGTCGTTGGTGTGACAAGCAGCTGAAATCGTAACATACATACATACAAAAGTAGTAAAAAAAGGTATCCAGTAATAAAAAAAAGGGAAATTTGTAACGGGTTTCAAAAGTGACCAAAAAAGAGTACGCATACAAAAAGATTAGAATAAATATATAAAAAGAGAAAAAATATATATTTTTTCAAGTTAAAGTGTGTTTAATTAGATAAAAGAACAAAATTAATTGTTTTATTTTACTTAATAATGTGCAACATGCAATTGGTTTTGCTGTTAATTATCATTATTTATAATATTTACAAGTTAAAAAAGCTTATTGGCAGTTTTAAGGGTCACTAAAAAAATGAAAGCAATAGTCAGTAACTTACCTTCGATGGCGTTAATGTGACGTTTAACAGTGTTGGATGTTGTTCGACAACAATGAATTCCACCTCACGTGGAGCATAGCCCTCGCCGAATACCTGAAATACACGAAAGATGCTATTCAATAAATTCTTTTGGTAAAAGTCTTACATTCTGCTAGAAGCGGGATAATGTTTACACTATTTTAGCTTAAGTAAATGCCAGATATCGGATAACCTACATACATATACATATGTTTACGTTCAATGAAAAGCTAATTGTGTCCACGAAATGGGCTACAACTTCTGATAACTACTACAGAGCTGCTAAAAATATGGATCTACCATTAAATGGAATTTTTTTTTGAAGATTAAGCGGAAAATGCTGCTACACATACCATAAAGGCTTTGTGAGGCCTGACACCTAATGGAGTGAAGAAATCGCAGAGCCACAACAGAAATTCTAACAATCACGAATAATTGGCAAGGAGGCAGCACCTTCGTAGCTTAGGTTTGGTTAGGGTAGCTGCCCTCATTTAGCGTTGGAAAAAAGCAGAGTTAGGTAGCCATTTGGCTATTGTGACACCGTAATAGAGACCATTTACATTTTTTATATCCCCAATCCGCACAGAGTGAAATCTCTCTCTGAGTATCACTGATGTAAATTCCAGTATCGATTTAAACTACACGATCGTTGGGCGATAGTTGAGCGTACCAAACTCCAATGAAATGAAAAAAGCGACAGAAGAAAGGAAAGGAAGAAAGGCGGGGTGGTAAGGATTAAGATTACGATTAAGATTAAGACTAAGATTAAAATTAAGATTAAGATCAAAATTAAGGTTAAGAGTAAGGTTAACCTTAAGACTAAGAATAAGATTAAGACTAAGATTAAAAAGAAGATTACGGCTAAGATTAAGGTTAAGATTAAGATTAAGAGTAAGAGTAAGGGTAAGATTAAGATTAAGACTAAGAATGGAGATAAAGTTTGAGATTAAGATCACGATTAAGCTAAAATTAAGAGCAAGATTAAGCATAAGATTAAGAGTAGGATTACGATTAAGATTAAGGATAAGATTAAAATTAAGCTTACGATTAAGATTAACATTAAGATTAAGACTAAGATTAAGACAAGGTTATGATTAGGATTCAGATTAGGGGTAAGGGTAATATTAAGATTAAGATGAAGATTAAGATAATGATAAAGATTAGGATTAAGACTAAGCCTAAGATTAAGAATAAAGTAAGATTAAGAATAAGGGTGTTAGGTAAAAATAAAGCTTAAAACTAAGATTAAGGCTAAAATCAAGATTGATATTAAAAATACTATTAAGAATAAGATCGAGATTGAGTTTGAGATTAATTAAGATGAAAACTAAGACAAAGATAACACAGGTTTACAAAAAATGAAATAGTTTCTGAATATTGAACCAAAGCTTTTCGACAGTATCGATACTATATGTGGTTGTGACTATCGACTATCGATGGTCGTGGTCGTGCCAGCTCTATATTCGACGCGCTAAATGGGAGTAGGGAAAAATTCATTGAATAAACCTGAAAATTCATATATATGGGGCTTTCGACTCGCTGAATGCAAATCCGAGTTCTGTTAATCTCCATCACGTCAGGTTCGAAGTCATTTGAGGGTCAAATATGGAATAAAATTTATTCAACAAAAATAAAAATGCAAATGGAAGGGTTTTATTGTCGCTGAATCCGAATATGAGGGCCCTTGATTCATCAAAGTCATCTAGAGGTCATCTAAAGGTCAAACAAAGCAAAAGGGCGTTGGACGAAAAAGCTAACACTTGACATTGCACTACGGTGTAATCGGAAACCTAAATACTTAAACTACCAACTGAGGTCGTTATAAATCAGCTATAGTTGTTTCGAAGAATATTGCGGAGCCGTAGACGAAAGAATGATTTGGACAGACATGTCTTCGAATGCGGGCAAATTTTTGTATGATCCTCTAGTTATAAATACTTATATAGTACATAGATAGGAAATAGGTAGTAACCTAGTATTTCAAATGGCTATGGACAGAAGTCTAGATTGACAGTTGCACCTGGGCTGGTTGTTTGTTTGGGATTAGATTAGTAAACACAACTAAATCGTCCTTAATAGGGTTTAAATTTTCTCCGACATAAGACCTCTATGAAAAACTCACTGCGATAGATCGTGCTTGTTCTAACCACATGTATTTCCTACAGGTAAAATTCTAAGCTCCTAATAAAATAAGAATAGTGTGTGTAAGATAAATTCATTGATCAATGAATTTTCTAAACAAACAATTCTTCACTCACCTCCAACTTATAGTATCCGGGCAGCAGAATTCTCCAGAACTCGCCATGTTTCGTCGTTTGAAAACCGACATCACGTCCCTTGATCTTCAGCGAAGCACGTTCAATAGGCGTGCCAGTGGGGTCCAACACGAAACCCTGTACGCCACGATGCGCTTCGGCCAAAAATTTGATCATGGACTAAAAATTAAATAAAAAAAAAATTTATTAGAAAGTTGTATTTCCGCAGCTTTCCCTCACACCAACTCACCAGCTGATTATCCTCCCAGTACTTCTTCAATTCATAGGCAGGTGGATATTTGCAGCATGAAATTTCCAGCGTCACCTCCATGCAACCATACCACACGTAATTGTAATCCTGCATGCCACCGGTGAGTGGATACCACGCAGCGCCATTTGTGATGCCATTCTCGAAGGCGGGCGTCGCCGATTTACAAGCTACACCGCGTGACATCTTCGCATGATTCTTAGCGTAGACAAGCGACAAATGCTTGAAGACGTCATCGTCGGGCGTGAGTGAAGGTGCCGCCGAGTAAGTTTGAAACACTGTGCCAAGGGGACATGTTGGCGGCAAGAAGTGTGGGAAAAGGAAGAAAATAAGAGTTGAAAACTTTTGTACGTATATTTTGAATAATTAGTTTGGTAGTAGGTACAACCGCTAACAAATCGCTGCAACAAACTACTCACTCGCGCACAAAGCCGATGATCGACATATTCCTTTGAGCAGCCATGTTGTCGGTAGGAAATGGGGAAGGAAATCGGTAATACAAGTTTATAGATCGGTATGTTTTTTTACATACAAACAAAGGAAAGACGATGGATGATTTAGTGAGGTTATATGTTCAAATAATGAAATGGAAGAGCCATTGGCGAGTTTAGGGAAATTCTCTATCTGTTAATATTATCTGTTACGTAGCTACTTTGCAGGTGAATGAAGGCTTATGTCACTGACTTGAAAATCTTAAACAACCTTATCTGTGATAGAAGTTTCTATGTATATGCTTACTAGAGTTTGGCGTATTATCATACGGATAACTGGCTACCAAAGCGCCCCCATGCAAACTGCCACTCAACACGAATTGTATTTTTGATATCCAATCCTTGACGGAGTCTGTTTCGGGCTGCCCACGCTTGTTATTCTGCTTAAAGTAGTCTGGGAAATTACGATTTAAATCGAAGCCACGCGCATTATATCTGAAAGTGGGGGAAGATATTTAGTTTAATGAAAAATTCATTTTTATTATTAAATATTCTGCGCTTCTTACCTGCCCTGCCCGCCATCACAGGCGCCTTCCTTAGACACCGCATATCCATCTGGATTCATCGACGGCATAATGTGTATGCGTGTATTGTCCAATAACCACTTGACATACTGATCGGTATTGTAACTAGTCACGAAATATTGTATAAGATGAAGTAGCAGCTCACGACCCACTGGCTCATTGCCATGTATGTTGCCTACATATTTGACATCTGGCTTACCAACCATATGCTCGTAGGGTGAGGATGATACTACCATAACCCAGAGATCGCGTCCTTGTATTGACTTTCCAATTGAGTAAAGCGCTGTCAAATTTGGGTAGCGTGCGCTTGTCGCTCTGAACGGAAGTGAAATAAAAAAATTATTTTGGTATAATAGTGCTATAACAATGGGCGCGTTAGTTTCGACTTAGGACAACTAAAAACATACATATGTATGCAGCTTCCTCCATTTCTTTCCGCTTTGAGAGCCGGATAAAAGTGTCATAAGATCCATACTGAGAATCAACCAAGTTGGGAGCTGAGCAATTACGGATATAAAATGAAAACCGCTCCTCAAAAAGGCATTCCTCAACTACAGCTTTTAACCCAAACAGCTCTCCTAAGGCAGAAAAATCCCTTGACAAGACATACCAGGTTCAACCGCATCCAAAAATATGGTCGAGTTTGGTAAGAGAAGCCGAAGTCTTCTCGACGATGACGAAAAGTTCAAAGGACAGGGAGACCGGGATGAGCGTCCCATGCTATAGAGTGGTAAGCTCACCAAACAGCGAATAGCGTATTTTGCGATTGTTTCGGATTACCAGAGGAACAACTTGATGACCTGTGGTCGCGCCAAGGAGCACACCCCTCTAAGGCCACTCATTAAATCCAGCATACGGATCGTTGCCGTGAAGGTGAAAGAGGACATTCTATATGTGAAATCATTTATTCTCGATTTCAAAATGGGATAGTAAGGAAAGGCACAGGTCGCTAGGTGCCGACGAGGGGTGGAATATGGTCTCGCCTCAATAGGATAGCTATAGCTTCGGGAAGCTGAAGGTTTACAAAACAGATACTGAAACTCTGGTCAACTAAGACACGGAAACTGGTGTTTCAAGTAAGGAGATAAATTACTCGCACCAATATTAATTCTGCGGTGTCAGTATTCATTATGATATCTAGGTGGTAATTAAGGCCTTCTGCTTTGAAGTGATCCCGCATGATTTCAAGGCGATAACATTGGATGACATTCACAGTCACGAACTTCGTCTTGTAAGACAGAGTTAGTTTGCGTCAGCTGATGAAAAGCACCAGTTTAGGTTGCATTCCATGATTCCAATACCAGGTTCGGTCTTAGAGTCATATGTATACTAAATTTGGATATCTTTTCGGGGTTAAGGAAGTTCATTGTCCCAGTTAGTTTTGTATGAAAAAACTACCCTCAAGTTTTAGATCCCAAGAAATGGGTCCACGAAGTCACTGCTCATTCTTTCTCTCCTTTTCTAAAGCCGCAAGTATCCTAACCTCTGATTCACTGCATTGTAACCAGAAATGAGTTTTACAGCTCTATTCGTCGCGGATAAAACAAATTTTGTAACAGGTACAAACAGGGTTTTTAAGCATTTTTTTAATTTCTCCGTTACAATATGTTCCGTAACGTTCAGAATAGACCTGTTAATGTAAACAATGGAGCCACTTTCTTATTAAAATGATAGCAGCAGTTCCTGAAGCGCCCTGAGATCCGCGGTCCATGTTTTTTACAACGCTTTTATCAACTTGCAATGTTGTGTGTCCAGAAACCTTCAATGTTGTGGATCCAGAAACTTTCAATGTTGTGTGTCCGACACCATAAAACCTTTGCTTTGAAAAGTTCCGCATAGTGCATAGGGCGACATCTGTAGTGAATAGGGCGAGGTAGATGACATCTAGATCTCGCCCTATGTACTACGTTTGCTACAGCGGAAATAGACGACACGCCATTTCTTTAAATAAAATTAATTGGTGCACGTTTGTATGTACATACATATGTAAATGCATGTGTGTGCACCTTTCTATTAATATCGTTGAATTATTTTAATATCTATTGCGCTCCACGTTTTTCATTTTCAATTTCATAGATTGTTTATAATGACTTTTGCTAAAATTTCAAAATCAAAAGTTATCAAAACAAATTCTATGGGACTGAGAAATATTATTTTCTACTTTTTAGTCCATTTATAAAAGCGTTGTATATTAAAAAGTTTTTTTTATATTATTTATTTTTGTTATTGACGTTTCCTTCCACTACACGGGCACAGCGTATGTTGAAATGTGTTGGCAAGTTTCTTACATTCAACCAACTGGATATTTTAAGTCAGCTCAGGTTTAGGTCGCTTAGGGCAGGTCCGAATGTAGGCCCTGTACTATTGAAGAGATGTATGTAGGTGTGGATTCTATCAAAGTTTGTCATCAAGGATAACTCCCAGATATTTGAGTTTTTAGAGAAGTGCATCATTTGTACATCACACACTGTGGATCAATTGACCGGCATCCTTTACCAAATCAAAAAGCAAACGTATATTTTCTCTGTGAAGAGAAGGTACAAGCATTTCTGTTCTGTTTCGCTTTCCTGGAGAAAATAACTAAGCTAGTCTTCTTCCATTTTGATTGCACTAATTGGCGACTATTTTTAGCACACTTTGTAGAAGATTTGAGATGGGAGTCTTGAAACCTACTTCTGAATGCGAAGCCAATGTCACCCATGTAGCACTGGAATGGAAGCTTACTTAGAAGTCAGAATAGCTCGAATTCTAAAGTGGATCATAACAAAGGAGAGATATATAAGTCACCCTTGTGGAAATTCTTTCACTGAGCAGAAACTGACTCTTTCCTGCTCTTGAGCGGAAGTTAGGCTTCTGGATTTGAGGGAATTCCCTTTCCATCGGCATGTGATATCATTTATTCCTTTGCGACGGACACAACCAAAAGCATACTTTAAGTCCAGCTTCTTTTCTTCCGACTTTTGTTAAAGATGATCTGAGAAGATTTCACCTACCCCAAAGGCTTTTTAAAGACTTTGGGGGTAGATATACTTATTGCACCTTATAGTATTCTCAACGAACAGGTCCTTTGACGACTTTCCAGTCCTCTGCGCAAGATTCTTTTATCCACATTTGCATGTGTATTGTTTGAGTTGTGCTCAGTGGGAAGCACAAAGAAAATGCTCCGCGGCTAGCAAGTTCCGACATTACTTGCAGCCAAACGTTAATGATCTATGAGGTCTTCTAAGTCTGTGGATTCTTGTACTCTCTGCAGAACTCAAGAATATAATTTTCTAACAGTACTTATATATGCCAAGCAAGCAAACCAAAGAGATTTGCTGTGGTACCGTAGGAATTTTCACTCTAATCAAGATAAGAGTGGCGCTGATAAGACATTGGAGAATACTTAAAAGTCGTTAAAAAACGTTGAACTAAAGTATGTTTTCATTCTCGGAGGCCTTTAGAGTGTTTTAAATTGAATGACCATATCCGGGCAGTAACCATTTCGCAGCACTAAATAAAATACATGTACGTAGGTATTCGTTCTTACCAGCTAACTATTTGGTTATCGAATAACGTGAACAAGTAAAATCGGAATTTTTATGCTCCCATCCCCTAGGATTGTTCTATAACAGAAAACAATATTTCCCTATTTTTTTATTTTCGCCAAATCTCCCAGAAACTGCAAAAGGGGACCCATAAAAAACTTAAGCATAAAATAATGGTTTAATAAACAATTGTTTAGCATTTTTGGAAGCCTTTTGAAGAGAATCAGAGTTATCCGATCGAAATATATTGATTTTCAAGAGTTCTATACCATTTCTACGAAAAGTTGTTTCTCAAAATAATAAATGGGGGGGTATATTTTTCCGATAGAGAATAATCCTAGAGGGTGAGAAAATTAAAATTCCGAATTTAATTTTTTTTTTGACCACCCTTAATAAGTTCTTTGAAGTTATCTTACCTTAGAAATCTTGTCAATTCATCGTGATCATGATAAACAAAATCCAAATACTGTGAATCAGGTATGTAAGCACGGGGTTCGGGCAGTGCTGCGTCGAGTTCATTCGTCGACTGGGCGAGGCAATGATAGGCGTACAGCAGGAAAAATGAAACAAATGCGGGCCGCAGAATCATAATGAGTGCAGTGTTGTCGTCGTTACCTCAATATTGACAATTATTGCTATTGTGTACTGACTGCTGTAGATTTTTCGACCTGCAAAAGAAATAAAATCTTTAGTTATGCAAAATTAAGAAATTGTTTAGGATAGCTTCAATATAGTACATATAAGCAACTCAAAACGAATTGCTCGTCGAGTAAGTAGAGTGCAACAACCGTGAAAGATCAAGATCATTGCGCAAGGAAAACATATGTAAGCGCTCACAATCGCAATAATCGTTTCAAATTTTTTTTTGTGGCTTCATAATTGTCTGTTTTTCTTTCGCGACCATCGATTGGAAAACCAATTTAGCTTGTGACGTGATTCAATTGCGTTGCTGCATGTACTAAGCGTGATGGATAGTAAAATACAAATGAAACTTAGGAAAAACTTTAAAGCGAAAAAGGTAAGAAATAATAATAAGATGAAGTGTGGAAAAATGATGGGACATTGCACTCTACAGATAACTGAAAGATGCGTTGCGTTAAATAGGTAGGGAGAAATTCAAAACTCAAGTGGTTGAGTGATTTACAATATATGTCTAGTACATCACATGCCCTCACATTACAGGTAATTTACATATATCAGTAAAACAAAACACACTTAAACTTAAGAAGATTTTCATATTAATTTTTTTAATCCTTTCAAAATATTTTAAAATCTTAAAGATCTTTCCTTTGATTCCCATAACTTAAGATTTAGTTGGGTTATCTTTTCAATGAAATCAAAAAAAATTCTCTCGATTTTTAGGTTACGTAGTTAAAAGCATAAAGTAGACAATGAAAAAAAAAAAACAAGTGCGTTTAGCTGTTTTCGAATGCGGGAACTGAATGGCAGTTTACAGCTCTACCTATTCGGTTGCGGTGGACAGTGGTACATAAATGGAAAAAGTGGACAAAGTTATTGCTGGATTATTTAAATAGAAATAATTGTTTGTGGCATGGCATAGTTTCCATACCCAAAAGTATGTTGTGTGTTAAAGCTTGTTTAAACACATTCTGTTTGACAGACATATTGTTATATGTATAATTGTAAATACAGTTTTTAATAAACACAATTGCAAATTTAGAAAAGTGGCAACCCCACTGCAAAATATTTTTTTTATCTCTACAAACGGCTTTTATTTTAGTATGGAAACTGATATATGCTGTTCAGAATTTGAATAATTTTAAATTTTCAGATATCTGGCAACCCTATTTTGAAATTTTTCCCAGAAATATTCTACGTTGTAATGAAAAAAAAAAATTGAACAAATCCGTTGAGCTGATTAAAGCCGTTAAAACTTTAAAAAGGCCAAACTATGTGTCTCCGCGAATTTTTAATAATTTTTGGACATCTGATACTTTTTGAAATACCACGGATTCTGATACCTTGGATAATAAGCTATGTGCCAAAAAATATTCAAGCAATAATTTTGGCTAATTTTTCCCATTTCTGTACCACTGTGCGGTGTTCGCCTTACCGACACTACCCAATTTAATATTCGTAATATAAATTTAAAATTAATTCAAGCAGACACCACATAAAAGTAGAAAACCTTTACATTTCAATGAATTCAAGAAAACATTTCAAAATATTTTTCTTCTTCTTATATGGCGCTCTAACCGCCTAAGCGATTTTGGCAGAGTTCAGCAAAGCATGCTTGTCGTTTCTCTGCTGTGCATTCGAACGACATGGCCAAGCCAGCGGAGCCGCAACCATGGTTGCCACTTCACAAAATTTATTAGTATCAAAATTTTAACAAAAAAGTACCATTTCAATTAAAATGTACCATTTGTATTATTTTTATAAACAAAATTCAAGTTTTTTATAAGTACAGAAAGTTAAAGTGAATATATGTATATGTATATGTAACAAAAAAAAAAAATTGGTATTTTTACAAAAAGCTTTCGTCTCATAAATACATATATCGCTCAGTTACTAGAATACCATCATTCTCGCTTTTGAAGTTTTTTTGATTTCCACTTTATAACAAAGAGAAGAAATTTTATAATTTCTAAATTTGTCATTATTGGGTCTCATCGAACGTATTGTGTGTAAGATTGAAACCCACCGTCAACGAACTGATTGGACCTTATCAGTGTGGCTTTGGACCTGGAAAATCTAGTATAGATCAGGTATTCACAATACGCCAAATCTTTTCAAACGACCAGCGAGAATAGAATCGACACACACCATATATTTGCCGATTTGAAAGCCGCTTTAATTAATACGATAGGAGTTGCCTATACGCCGCGATGTCTGAATTTGACATTCCCTCGAAACTGATACGGCTATGTAAAATGACGTTAAGCAATACCACCAGCTCTGTCAGAATTGGGAAAGACCTCTCTAAGCCATTTGCTACCAAACGGGGTTTCAGATCAGGCGACTCCCTTTCATGTAATTGCTGCCGTATGCCGGCGACATCGCCATTGTCAGCAATAATAACCGTGAAGTCTGTTCTGCCTTATCAGGATTAGATAGAGAAGCAAAGTGAATGGGTCTGGTGGTGAACGAGGAAAGAACGAAGTTTTTCCTGTCATCAGACAAAGAGTCAGAGCATAGGCATTTTACAGCTACGTCTCTGTTAACAGTTATAAATTCGAGAAAGTAGACGACTTTGGTAATTAAACCAAACGCAGAATCACCCTTGCTGATAACAGAGAAAGAAAAAAGGTCCCATCTGCGTTGCAAAGACCAAGTCGAGAGAGACTTGGTTTCACTTGGGATTTCCAATTAGCACAGAAGCAAAACGACTAGCGCGCTGTTTTAGACTCGAAAGTCGTTAAGGCCAGTCAACCAGACTGACTCATTTCGGACTTTTTTTGTATCAGAAATTCTGAGTTGAGCAACAGTAACAAAGTTCAACACACATAAAACTTTATTTTATTTACTCTTTATTCCCCACTTTATTTCCCAGTATTAGCTAAAATCCAATTCCGATGATACGCTACTTTAGCGTAACCATCTGGGTAAGTGCTTCCACAACCATTCACCACAAAACCGGCTAGACCCACCAGTTTACCATTGTATGTGGCTGGACCGCCAGAATCGCCATTGCAGGCACCGTTGTCAGCTTCATGAGCCAGGCAAATCAGAGAGTCATCTCCCATGCCGATCAGCTCATCACATTGCTCAGTGTTCAAAGCTTTAAGTGTATTCCATTGCAGGCGATGAGGAATCGGACCGCCTGTGTATAAACGTCCCCAACCTGAGATTATTACATCCTCACCGACGGGTACTTCCTCATCCGCCAACTCGATGGGTTGTATGTTGTCTGTAAAGACCAATGGTTGCTCCAATTCCAAGACAGCTACGTCATTTAAGAAATTGCCATAGGCCTTGTTGACGGTTATACGCTTCAGCTGCAATAATTTACCACCAGCAGTGCGCTGAATGCTGCCAACACGCACTTGGAAGTATTTAGCGGGATAACTGTAGATGGAGGTGAAATGAAAAAAAAATATGGCTAGTAGTAACGTTCACACATTTTCCGCACTTACGGTTCAATACCATTGCCGGCCACAACACAATGTGCTGCTGTAAGAATGTGGCTTTCGTCAATAATTGCACCGCCACAGGTGTGGGATCCGTCTTCACGTTGTAGCGAAACCTGATGCGGGAATTGTCCAATAGTTGCGTCTACACCGCCAACAATCCGTCCATTCGGAGCTGCGCTGCTGCTGCTGATGCTGAACAGTGCCAAAAAGGCGGAAATTAGAACGAGGCGCGCTTGCATTATGGCCACAATTAAGGTATTGGTTAAAATATCGACTGAAATCGTTACTAAGACTCTGGGAATGTTTTATAGCGTAAATACTTTTAAGTACCCACATATGTACATATACAACATACGAGGGGAGCGTGAAAATTTTTGAGCCTAGGGTTATGAATTAGCTGATAGAAATGTATACAAATTTTATTTTTCTATGTAATCTCCCTCTACTTAAATGCACTTCTTACATTGATCAGGAAGGGCTTTTAACCCAGTGAAAAAATATTCGCCGTCTTTTTCGCCGACACGCTCTACTGCCGACTTCTCTTTTCACC